GTCAGAAAAGGGTACGCTCTGCGTCTGACGGACGGATCCGTCGGAGACGTTCGCGCTGCTGACATAGCCGAGTCTGTCCGACAGGAGATAGGGGAACTCGAGCAAACGAAGAAGCTCGTCGAAAAGAGAACGAAAGACGCGACGACACGCGTGGAGGATCTGGCCAATCGTCTGGCGTCCTTCGTACGCCACGATCTAGCGGAGAGGTGGAAGAAGGATTTCAAGTTGCGATCGCACAGAAGCATGAAGGAACTCGACCGAAGGATTGAAACAGTCGAAAAATACATGGAGAACGATCTGGCGTTGAACGAGGAACGGGAATGGTTGTTCTACAAACCCCTCAGGGAGACTTCGGTCGTCGACACACCCGTGTCGCCGACCAAACTGGATCGCGCGTTCGCCCACATCATGGAAGATTTGATTGAGGAAATGTTGTAATTTGTAAACTATTGAATTAATAACTGCAATAAAAGAAATGAAACTTGAAACGTTAAATTTGGTTTGCTTGTGTTATTTATTTTCATTTTCATTAATAAAATACATCTACATCGAAATCTTCGTTGTGTCCGCCGCCGCAATCGAAGACGTGCTCCATCAACGAAGCGTGTTCCGTGACGGTGTAAGCCTTGAAACACCTGGGACATCTCAACGGCTCTTCCTCCTCCTCTTCCTTCTCGTACGAAACTTCTCTGACGACGGAACTTTCGTTAGTTTTTGCGAAACGCAAGTCATCAAGCTCTCGGCATTTCTTATCCAGCCCACGCGCAATTCGCAAAAATCCCTCTCCAACATTTCGTTCCTCGCAGAAAGCGACTGGATTTCTCCCGTAAGCTTGATGACGTGCGCTTCGCGTTGATCCGAGTACCGTTGCCATCTGGTGTTCATGCTTATGACTTCCTTCAGCTGTTTCGAAAGTTCGGCGTTTTCCCTGGCCAAGCTCGACACTTGTTCCTCCAAGACCTTGCATCGATCTTCCGATGAGAGAGACCCAACACTTCTCTGCTCGCCGACATCCTTTTCCCTTCGTTCGTAATCCCTCGGCTTCCGAGCCACGTCGATCTTTCCCGTTACCAGATCGTCGATCTTCCATCTCATCCGTTCGATCTCGCGGCAGAGCGTTCGACGGACGTCGTCGGCGTAACTGCGCTGTCCGTAGCACTCCTTCAGCTCCGACGTCAGTTTTCTAATAGCGACGTCCTTTACCGAGTCGGAAGAATTCGTAGCGCTCAGGTACTCGGTCAGCTCCTTATCCTTCGTACGGACCTCGAACGAAAGTTCGGCGATCCTTATCCTGAGAGCGGCGATCGTCTTCTTCGCTTCCGCCACTTCCTCGGAACTGTAATTCGAGTTGAGGACGGTTCGCAATCGCACATTCTCTCTCAGCAGCTGGTCGAGAACCTCCTTGTCGTGACCAGGCACGAAGTGTTCGTGCTCTTTGAGATCGACCGACGAATCGAGTTTGTTTCTGTGCAGTCTGAATTGCAAGTGCTCGATGCTTAGATTCTTCTTCTTGAGTTCCAGTTTCAACGAATCGATCGAACCTCCGTAGTCGTTCAGCAAAAGCTTCAGCACGTCGATGCTCTGCACTACGGTTTTCAGGGAAACGATTTCCTCTTCTTTCTTTCGCAGCCGGTCCGATTCGGTGGAGGCTCCGCCGACACATACATCGTCGGTGCTCTTTGTCGCAGTCGTCGTCCGGCCAAGTGTTTCGTTCATGTCGTTAGCTCTACGAGTGTGATGGAATAACTTTAACTCGACTTTTATTTCGTTTTCGTTGTACGGTGAGCGTACGTCATCGGTTCTTAGACACCTGACGTCACGAGCTCATGGCCGAAGGCCGAAGTAAGCTTTTATAAACATAAAACAGATTGTAATAGATGTTTTGTGTGTGTGTGTATTTAATTTTCGATTTTCTCCTTTTTGAAATAAAAGTCCTGTTTCAAACCCTTCCTCATTCGTCAGTCGTTACATAAGTCAAACACTATCAGGCTAACAAGAACAACAACCAATAGTCTAATTTGCTATTTTTTCTAGCAAAAACTTTATTTCGTTGAAAAGATATTCGAAAATACACGGATTATGATTACAGCTATCGTGTTGAACTAATCGTATTTTCCTGCATTATAATCATTTAATTTCAAAACGAGATCGTCCCTTTTTAAATACTTAGCAATTTCAAACAGAAAATCAACCTGTCGAGGTCTGATCACTGTCAGTTTTTCCAATTCAACCATCAATCTTATGGCTTCATTTAATCGTATGGTTGATTTCAGTCTCGGTTTCAGCGATTTCAACTCTTCTTCGTTGATTCCAGAAGCAAAATCAAGTATCATGGCCCTATGGGGGAAAAAACAATATTAAATCAGATCGGCAATCATTGGCGAGAAAAAAAAATCTTTTTGCTCTAAAGATAAAAGAGAATTACATACCTATAGGGTGAAATTATCTTTTCACCGAGTCCTTCCGTGCTCCCTCGAAAGTCCAAAACATGGCGTTGAAGTTCCGAACGCCTTATCAGTCCCAGAAGCTCGATAAGTATTTCCAATCTCGATGAATAAAGTAATGCTCTATCCTCTAGTTTATTCATTAACTCAATGCCTCTGGTAACTTTTTCCAATTCGACCGATGCTCTTATCCAGGCATAAGTACTTCAGAGCCAAAACATCTCGATCCTCGAGGTACCTATCGACGTTCACCAACATCCCGCGATACGATGATTCGTCTTGCCCGGCCATTGCTTAATTTTAATGGATGGACAGGTTCCGCCGCTTATAAACCAACTATAACGATGACGTCATGGGTACTTGGAACCTTGACGTCATCCGTACACCCTTATTTGAAAGCATCGATAGGCCGGTAACGATGACGTCATGGGTACTTAGAAAACGTCTGCTGACTAATCCTTATATATACTCGCGAATCATCACGTAACGATACATTCGGAATCAGCGAACCTCGACGCCATGGCAGAGAAGACGAACAGAAGAATCGTAGCCAGAATGGTTAAGATTTTCACCGAAGATAACATCTTGTTGGAAAACCTGCTGGCCGCCAATCGAGGTCGCATCCTGACGGTGGCATTCTGTAACGCGAAACAGATCTCTCTCGAGGTGGCGTTCTCCGCTACGGAGACTGGAGGCGGGAGACACTACGAATGCTTTGCCTGGACTAAGGTGGACGGAGTGAGGTGTGTGGGCAGGCAAGGAACCATCGAAGACACGCACACGCTTCTGAATATGTACGGCGTGTCGAATGCCTCTTTGGAATTGGAGGAATACGCCGTCAGACTCGGCACAAAAGGAGACGACAAGCCGTCCATCGACAGGGACGCCGACAGGATCGTCACGATGGCGATTGCCGTGAAGGACGAGGAAGATCTGCTGGAGCCGTTTCGAAAAAAGCAGGTGCTTTAGCAATTCAACGAAACTTTGAGATTGTCCGTCACGTTCGTCAGAAGTGAAAGGGACGTGCGTCCGTACGTCCGTTGCTACTGCGGCTTCGTTCGAGAGAACTGACAACTGTTTGCTGCGGAAACTCTACTGCTGAAGGCAATGAACGAGTGGTTGACGACTGAAGTAAAGTTCGCATCCGTTCCCAACGTGATGCTTCTGAACAAAGGACACGCCCTTCCCAACTCCATCGCCGTTGGTTTTGCTGGGCATAAGAGGAGCTGCGGCACGATAGACGACGCCGAGTTAAAGAGAATGAGAACGGTCGTTCAAGGCGACCACGATTACGCCTCGTCCGAATAACTGTATATATTTGTAATTGTTTAAACACATACGATTGTAGTTATAGTTGTTTTTAGTTAAAAAAAAGAAAAGAAACGTATATTTTTTGTCTCTTTACTCATTTACAGTTTCCGATCGACTATAAAAAACGTGATGCTGTTGTAACTCGGAGAGTCTAGTTGTTTCTTTACACATCCTTACATAAACGAGAAGTTACACTTTTAACTCGTGTGAATTATAATCGATAGACCACTTGTCGTTCTGCTAAGGAACAAACTAACTATAACATACGTTATAGGTTTCAACGATTATGTCATAACGTTCAGGATATTTGGTATTGAAATTCGACATGATTTAAAGAAAGGAGGGGAAAAAATTGTACGAATAAAAATTATCTGCTTTTTTTTCTATCACACACACTCACACACAACACAGACACACATACACAAAGCAATTATTTAAACGAAAGACGCATTGTTTGGTATGTCAACTACAATTTAATATTCAATATCGAAACAGATTTTAATAAACATTTGTACAGTTATAAACGACGGCTTTTTATT